CAGGGTCAACAGGAAAAGGAGGAGACAAGAAGCTAAGCCCTGGTCTAACCATTAGCCAGTGTCAGAGCTGAAGTTAGAAGCCAAGAGTCTCTGGCTTCCACTTGCTCCTGTGCTCCCCTCACTGTTTCATCCCTTAGGATTTTGATATAAGAGGCTAAGCCAGAGTGCTCACTGCTGAGAGCTTTTGTAAGTTGGATGCTTTGTGGAGCCTAGCTGCCTTGGTTAGGGCACTGACGAGATTCCAGAGCCAGGCCTCTCTGGGATGAAGTGGATGATTTCTGGATATAGGTAGCTAGAGGGTGCTGGACATAAACATCACTCCAACAGTCTGATGTGTAGACCAAGGCTTCCCATACCTCTTCAGCTTCTCTCTTCATGCAGTGAGCTAGCAGGGCCTCTTTGTGCTCCAGCTCCCGCTCCAAATCCACCTGGTGAGGGGAGTAGAAGCGTCAGCACAAACTGAGCCACCAAGGTAAGTGCCAGCTCTCAGGCCACCAGTGCAGCCCACCTGCTCCATACCTGTTGGTAGTTGGCCTCAGAAAGCTGCCTAAGAATTTCATCCAGTTTGGTCTGATGCTGCTGTAAATGCCGATCCTTCTGGCCCAGTTCTTTCTGCAACACAGTAATCAAGAGAATCAACAGGACAGTGAGTAAGGCTCACAATCATCTTCCCATGGCAGGGAAGGTTATGTTGTCTGCCAGGATCAGGTTCCTCTACAGGCTGACTTACACAACAAGTAACCCCGTACTTCTAGCTAGATGTTAGAACTGAGTGTCAAAGCTTTTTTGAAACGACCGGTCAGGTTGCCTGGTGTCCCCTTGCCCAGCAAAGATCCATTGCTGAGGCCAGACAACTGTCCCAGAGAAAACAGATCCCTGAGGGATCAGTGGACAATCAGGTGACCCAACTTAACCTGATAGGCTTCTGCACAAGTGTTAGATACTCAGCAAGGCATCACAGAAAAACCATGACAGTAAAAGTCTACCATAAAAAGCTGTGGAGAGAACACAAAGAACATCTGATCCCTCCATCTCATTACAAACGTCCATGGCTATTGCAATTTATTCACTACCCACAGTGCCATTCCTAGAGGTGACTGACTGCCAGAGAGACAGCAGTCACATTCATAAAACTGAAGAACGACCAGATGCTGCCCCCAGCAAAGCCTCCAGTGAAGAGAGGTGCCATTACTTTGTATTCTGCCAGTAACCGGTTTCTCTCTTCAACCTTCCTCTGAAGGTCAACCTGCAGAAATAACAAATATGTGTGAGGTAAGCATTCCTGGAGAGTTAGTGACAACCTCTTTGCCCCCTGTGCTAAAGGGTGACCTGAGACCAAACATCTGCAGGGTTCAAGGGAGCTGGTGTCTAAGGATGGCAACATTTTGGACAGGACAGTTCCTTCCTTGCCCTTCTCTCTCCAGAGAGACACTGTACATGGCAGCTCCACCTGTCAAAGTGCCACTTGCTAACCCAGGGAGCACAATGAGGAAGGAAGAACGCAACTGTACTGAAAACATCATGGGAAGCCCCTCCCTGTTTCAGCTGAAGGTCTTGGAGGACAGGAAGTGGGAGTGAAGAACAGGAAACTCCAGCGAGTCTCACAGCTGGCTAGTAGACTGTGTGCAGTTTTTACTATGCAGAGGCCTTTGGTCGTTCACTATCCCACGACCCCAAGAACTCTGCTGCAACCACCAACTCCACCCTGTGGCTGCTGGAGCCCTCAGGGCCGCCAACCTCCTCCTAAAATAATCTAACCCTCAGCAGTGCAGTGACTCACATTCTGGTTGTGCAGTTCCTCCTTGTCCATGTTAGCTCTCAGCAGTTCCTGCTTTAGCTGAAGAACTGAAGCATCCTGTTGAATCAGCCTTTGCTGTAAAGCATCCTAGGAAAAGATGTTATCTGTAGGAAGGTGCAAGACAGAGGCAGAGACCCTTCCCTGGGAAGTGAGTGACCTAGACCAGTGGCCATAACACAGTGGGGCCACTCAGGGCTGAAGCGTTGCCAAGGGCCCAAGAGAGCAGGAGGTATATAGACATCTGCCTAGTGGGCTCTCAGCCCTTCTGCCTTTCTCTTACCCAAAAGTGATTTCTCTGCCAACATTCTAGCCATCTGGGACAGAGGGATTTCTGTGCTTCTGCCTGAACTTCCTGCTCAAGAAGTGGCCTGACAATTTGCTCTTATGGAAGAAAACAGCAGTGTCTTTGGAGGGTCTTTTCAGTGGCCTACAGCTAGTGTCTCCAACCATGCATCTGCAGCATCCAGAGGGCAGAAAGAGGCCAACATCAGCCAAGGACACAAGGAAACTTAAGCTCTCAGTGTGACCTAGTTGTGCAGTGAAATCCTCTCTGAAGAGGCCAAAGTCAGGATTAATTCTGCACCGTTCACTCAGTGTCACCCAGAAGCTGAGAGCTCTACCTTGGACAGCTACTGCTGTTTGCCTCCTTCACAGGAGCCTGACAGGCAGCTCTAAAAATACCTCTGTTCAGGCGTAGATTATTAGTGTTCAGAACCCCAGAGGAAGAAACTGAGCAAACAGGAGCCAAAGTTGTGAAAAATACTGCAGCTGAAGAGGACAAAGATACCCCCATGCTCTTTTTCCTCTGCTGTCATTAATGAGTTCACTGGGCCAATCCTACTGTGCGTACCCCAAGATGAGGGGTGGGTGGGGGAGAAAAGAGCCATGAGAACCAAGCAGGCATCCTACACCTCATATTTTGTTCAGGGGAAACAGACAAAAGAAGGGACCATTTGACTAAAATCCTATAGACAGAAACAGAACCCAGGAGACCTAACTCCTTGTGCCTGCCTCAACTGCAGTCTCTCCCTGGAGCCAGAAACAGACCATAGGATTCCCCACCTCCAAGTCCCCTAATACAACTCCCTCCACAATCTGAGATTCCTCAGAGGTGTATGGTTGCTGCTGGCCCTACTCATGGGCTGCAGCGGACTCTAAAGCTTTACTATGTATATTTGATGAAGTGCCCCTTTCCTCACCTTTATTCCCTGTAGGTTTCGAGCTTCTTGCTTGTATTTCAGTAGCTCCTTCTGTAAATGCAACACAGTTTGATTAAATGGCATCTTGTCCCCCCCCTTCAGAATCAACCAAAGTCAGCGTTCTCTGTCCCCAAACACCTGCTTCAGAAGAAAGCACATCCCACCTTTTCCCACAGATCAAAGAGCTTGTCAGACCCTGAGCCATTTTAATGGGTTACAAACATGACAAAACAGTTGAGCAGCTCCCTAATCCCCTGCTATTAAAACCATGAGAGAAAAAGATTGCCTATAGTCCCCCAAATCTGTCCTTCAGGGCAATGTCAAATACTTCTCTCCTAGCATCAGAACTGGTGCCAGAGCCAGCATCAGCAGAAAGCTGAACTAAGGCAGGCTTGACAAGGCAGGTTCTTCTTAGCTGCATCTATTTCCTGCTTGAAAGATCGTTTATATTCGGACATGGCTAGAAACTTAACAGCTGTCCTGGATAAAGTTTTGAGAAGCTAGTACAACCTGGGTCTCTCCAGCTTCAAGAACATGCGGGAAAAATATATTTCAAGGCTCATTTAAATTCCAGTAACACTTAGATATTTGTTTTACCAGCAACTGACTTTACCAGCATTGGCTTGAGGCAAAGTGGGGAGCCAGCATATATTTTTCTGGCGCTATCCCACAAACTTTTATTAACTGCTAATATGGATACAATAAATACTTCCCAGACAAGTATTGTGAGTGCTCTCCAGGTCGATGAATTAGGATTTCAGGGAAGCAGGTATCTACGCTCCTGGAGGGATGGAGATCCCACACAGCAGAATATGGGAACAGAGTTGAAGCCCTAACACAATATATCCCCCACGTCATCCGTTGTGTTGTCCACTCCCCCTCCATAAAAAAAAAATCAAGTAGGACAGAGTCTGCAAAGATCTCTTGACCTAAAACCTCTCTTCCTCCTTCAACTGCCCCCCTCTAACCTTTAGGTCTTGATTTTCTTCCACACTCTGGTCCAGACGACTTCGGATTATGATCTGAATGTAAAACACCATGGTTATTATTGTGCAGGACACCTGCCTGTGGCAGAACACTGCAAAGGGCAGCTTGATCACAGAAATGTAGGTACAGCAATGTGCTCACCAGCTGTTCTTCGGGGCAGGCTCCATGTTCACAAAGTTCAAAGGACCCTTCCTGCTCATCCTCAGGTAAAGACCCATTGAGCAACAAAGCCTGGGAAGATGAAGAAAAAAATCTCTTCAGGGGTTTCAAAGGAAAATAGGCTAGCTGCAGCTCTGGATAACATTCATATCAACAGACTCTAAACAGCTTCGTTTTCCATTTCTGCTGATTTATTCCCCTCAAAAATGAGTAGAATTTTTCAGGAATGAACAAGATTTATCCCCTGAAAACGCTCTCCCAGAGACACCTGTCAGCCAATACTCTTCCTCACAGAAAGACACCAAACAAGGACAACAACTTAGATTTTCAGGGAGTGAAGTCTGTCTCAGGCTTCAGTCCAAGGCTAGCCTTCACTACAATAACAGATTTGAAGTCTAAAGCAGAGACTGAACCATGTTTACATTGTAAGGCTTCTCTTCTGGAATGAGACTGAAGCATCCTCTGCTGAAAGAAGCCATTCTCCTAACCACACATCTACAAAAGACTTTAGAAACAGGATGGTCAGGGAAGCCAGCTCCAAGGTAGCCCAGATGTCTGCGGGAAGATGCCAGAATTCCCATAGTAGACTAAATCCAGCCTGAAGGAGGGAAAAGCGTGCACTGTAGGAAGTGTGACTACCAGGACCAGGCCAGATCTCCAGCAGGGTATACCATACTGGTTTTCTCTAGCTGATGGTTTTTACATTGACCTTTCTGTCTCTAACTTCCAGGACTCAGGGCACTTGGTATGTGCCAGGATGTTGCATAAACTGGACACATTGGGAAGAGTCATGCCTCTTTCTTTTGGTTAGCTTTCTAGTTTATTTCTATTTGAACTCCATGGCTAAAAACAAGATATCCCATTTGCAGTAATACTCCCAGTTCAGCCCCAAAACAGTTCAAGGCTGACAGGTCAGGTTCTGCCTGCTGACAGAATCTTCCAAAGAGCTGCAACTGCTGCCGAATAGCAAATAACAATCTGTATTCAGTTAAATTCAGTTAAATAAAGTCTGTATTCAGCAAAAGCTCTTTGGAAAATTGTTTTCTGAGTGCATCCCAAAGTCCTCCCAGCAGGACACTCAAGCAGGAATCACACAGGAACATAAAAAGCTGCCATGGTTTTAGCACCTTATGGGGTATATGTACATCAGGTCCCTGATACTTCAGTCAAACTTTCACGAACTGGAGGCTCTTAAGTATTGAGCAAGAAGGGGAAAATCAATTAATCAAATCCAATTTCTTGGCTAGCAACATCAGCTGCCTCTTCCTACTCCCAGGGGATGAGGGGGCAGCAATGCCAGCTGCTTGCCCTCACTCCTGAAACATGGGGCCAGGATTGGAGGAACAGGACATGTCAGTCCCTCCAGTGCTGCTTCTCCCTGCTCCCAGTGGGCACATAATGCAACCGGATTTTACCAGTGAACCAAGCAATTTTTTTTTTAATTTTTTTTTCCTTGAGTCTTTTGTTTCCTGCCCATTGTCCACAGGGAAAGTGCCCACCCGTCCACACCCCACCCTTCGCCCCGCTTCTCACACAATCTCTGCTTTGTTTACTGGCACGTAAGTATTTACAATTCAAAGGCAGTATGGTTCCCAGCACAAACAGAAAGGAATATTCCTGGGAGAGTTCAGACACTTTACCATATGGATCAGAGGCTCTACTCCCCATGCAGAGTCAAACACATTGGGCTGAGGGTCATTTGGTCAGGGACTGGAACAGGGCAGCAAGGAAAAGGTCCCGGAAATAAACAGTTGTGTAGAGTATGTACCAAATATTATAGTTCAGCCTAGCTCACTGAAAGACTGATGCAAGCCTGTGTGCCCCTGATCAGCTCTGTGAATCTTGATTGATTTCCAGACGTTCCTTGTCTCTCTGCATTACTTCCGATCACAAATCACAGAAGGACTGCTCTATTCTCTCAGGCTGCTAACAAAACCTGCGGGCTGCTAAGTGCCCTGGTGAAGAAGGGGAGTCCCAGCCCCAGCACGTGGGAAAACACTGCTGCATCTTCACCACTTTACACAGTAACATACATGCTTTGCACAGTGACAGCACATACAGGAGTTAGCATAGCATCACAGGACAGAGCACCAAGCCAATGAAGCCAGCTAGGATCTGGACTCCAACCAAAAGACAACAGAGACATAATCACCTTCTAAACATAGGCTTTGCTTTAGATTCTCTGCAGTGCTTCCATTCTTACCTGCATTCAGTGTGCCCTTTGCCCTCTCACAGTCCACCTAATTACTGTTAGTGAAGATCACTGATCTTCAGTCTTCATAGCAATATAATCTTCCTCTCTCTCTCCACATCCTTTCCTCTCCCTCCCTACCGAATAAGAGCCTCAAATCATGTCAACACCGAGTTTTGGAGAAGCCTGAGCTAAGAAAAAGAAAAGATTGTGTCTGAATTGCACAGACTGATGTTAAAATCCTTTCTCTGAAACCCTGGTAAATATACTGGGGCTGGGGAAGTTGCAGACATCTTTCCTCCTTCTCTGGGCTCTCTTGGTTAAGCATGCTACACAATGATGGGGGACACGCATACCCTGCCCCAGGGAAGACTGTGGCTGGATCCAGCTGTCTTCTAAATTGCATCTGGGACATTGGAAAGGACGGTTTTGGCATTATCCATTCTGGAAAAGGTGACCAGCACCAAATCACAATTGCAGGAGCCAAGAGAGCCTAAACATTGCAAGAAAGGAAGATGTCAGAGTGCTTAGTCAGTAGCATTTTGTTGCTGGATAAGGTCTCTGCTGGCTGCAGCCAATATACCCCAATACACACTATATTTCCTCATTCCTGAGGAACTCTTCCCTGAAGGGACTAATCCCACAGGGTGAGACACAGGGAAGAGCCACTGTCCCTATTTAACCAAGGTGACCCAAGAGACCAACTGACTTCTTGCACAATCACCCCAGGAGACCTCACTGGACCAGGACTCCTATTCAGCTCTCTTGAGTTCCAGGCCAATGTCTCAGCTGCAAGATAACCTGTCTTCCAGTTACAGCTGGTGGGAAAAGAAATGCATGTGGAAAGAAACACTGACTGAGAAGAAAATCTATTACCTGCAAACCTGAAATCATCTTCTTCGCTTCCTCCATTTCCTTTTCCAAATGGTCCTGCTGCTCCAAAAGCTGCTCCTCCCATGAATTCTCCAAATATGACCCAGAGTTCCCTGCTTGCCACTCAGGCTGGAAATGAGATTCTGTCTCTTCTGGAAGAGAGAGCAGCTGAATGTGGTCATGACAGACAGAGGAATCCAGAAAAGACTTGCACCACACAATAATTGCCTGCTGTCCACACTAGCTATCACTAACAAACCAGCATGTCTTCTAGCAGTATCAAGGAAGTTGCTACAGGTGTGACATCTTGTCTAATCTCAAAGATATATGCCTCATTCTTTATGCAAAGGAAGCTTTCGGCATACACATATATCAAAGACAAGCATCCTTCCCCTTTGCTAACTTTGCTGCACCTGTACTGGAGTACTGGAGATTCCTCAGTACTGGAGATTTCAAAGCACATCACAGGGGACAATGCACTGCACTGTGTGTGGTAGAAAATACCTAAGGGGAGAAAAGCAACTGTGAGATTTGAAGAGCTTGTCTTCGTGTTAGAGGGTGCACCAAGGACTCGCTGAAGGCAGCATTAAACAGTATTTCTACTTGTCAAATAATACAGCTTTCTCAAGGTGGACAACACACCTAATTCTGAAAAAGACTTTTCTCTTAATAGCAAGTTTAATAGACTTGCACGCCATTTCTGATCCCCACAGCATAAGCTGGATCACTGGTTAACCATCATCCACTGGCTGGCCCAGGATTGTAGATTTTTTTTTTCCTTCCCTAAGAAGGGGTGAGGTTTGATGAGGAATAATCATAGCAGTGCTTGTGAACTAGTTGACCAAAAGTGAAATTGGCCTATGCAAGCTGCTGTGCATCTGTAGATATGCATCTGCAATACCCTACTGTATTCCTTGCAAGCAGACACAGTACTGCTAAGAATTTAAGGAAGAGCCCAGCCTGCCAGCTACCTCAGCTGCTGAGATAGTCTGTCAAACACTTTCGAAGGAGCACTGAAGCAGGACTACACTGGCTGAGGCAGCAAAGCATTTCCTAGGAGAGCTTCTCTGTCATTTGCTCTTGGGATGGATGCTAACCAGAAAGAGTTACTAGGCTGCATTCCTGAGAAGGAAAAGAAACAAACAAAAAAATCGCTTCAGGAACTTCTTTGAAAACCTTTCCTTCAATCTGCGTGAAAATTTTAAGTGTAAACTGACCATATCACAGGGTATTTTTAGCAATACAGCAATGACTTCTCAATGCAAACATCACAACAATACTACAACTGTTCAATTCCTTGCAAAGAGCCACTTGACCTATGTACAGATGCGCTGTAAACATAGACCCTTACACAAAGTCAAGTTTGGGCTTGACAAGCTCACGTGGACTCTTTCTTTAAGGGAATTTAAAATGTTTTTTTCAACATGGCCTAATGAGGCTGCAATGAAAGTATTCACCCTACAGTGAAAATTATATATGACCCTTAATCCTTCTCCAGAGATTTTATTTCCCAAGCATTATTTTGCAAGCCTCACGGACATTGCCATATTATGGCCTTATTGTAGCGTTAAAAGTTTTGGGATTTAGTTTTATGTGAACAGATACTCAGCATCACATTCTCCACATTCATTTCGGTCACTGAGGAACTTTTCAGCAAGTTCATGATACAAACAAATCCCAATGAAAGCGTGAGCTGTAAAGCATTGTCTGCAAGGTACCTGTTTTAGTTTCTGTTTCTTCAGTGTGGATGATCACAAGTCTTTCCTTCTCCTCCGATGGGGCTACAGTGGATTCACTCTTTGCACTATGGATAGGACTGGGCGATGTAAGACTGCAGAGGAAAGGAGAAACAGTTACTTCTAGTGCTGATCAACATCATCCTCATCTAAGATAAAAGTGAATATGCAGGCAGGCTTGTTGAAACTAAGAATTATCTGCATACTAGAGAAGCCGCTAACAAACCAAACTGGGCATGTAACTTTTCCATCACTCTACAGTGTCATAGCAGGCTAACTGCTAAGTAGCACAATGCGTCTCTTCATTTTCCTTAACAGAATGCAAATTTGAGACCGCCACCACAGAATTCACATACACTCACATGGGGGTAAGACCACACTCTACTGAAGGTCTGCTCAGAAACAATTTACTGTGAGCCTTACGTTCATAATGCAAGCTGAACAAAAAGCCACCCTGGCTTGCTTCATCTCTTGCTCTGGCTTTCAAAAGCACCACTTCACTGACTTGAAATTCCAAGGGCAAAATATTTTTGAAAGTCAGATACCACTCACTCATGTTCTTAGGTTAAAACTGCTTGAAAGTACCCACACATTTTCACTGGAGCCACCTCAGCTGACTGTGAGGTTCAAGCAATCTTTTTTTTTAGAAATTCTTCCCAAATGCATCACCCAGACAACATCAAAAGGCGGCTGAAGCTCACTGACCCATTCAATGTACCTCTAAAGTTGCAGGAACTAATCCTTGCAAGTGTGAGCAGGAGTTAATTTTTCATTCTCACCAACACAGAAACAAAGGACAGAGAACAAAAAGAAAACAGTGTGGAAATAATATAATAGGTTTAGAAAAATAAGAGGCTTCGACAGCTCGACTTCCGCATCTTCCCAGCACTGCTGCTACATATTCCACAGCTCTCTCACAGAATCAGAAAAGCCTTGCAATAGAGATGGAAATGACTTGCTAGCAGCTCCTGTCTGGTCCACTCCCACAGCCAGTGCTGGCCTATTTCTCATTTATATTACAGACCTTCAAGCAGTCTAGTTTTAATGGTCCAGACTAAATGGACTTTCACCATGTTAAAGGAAAAGATGAATGCAACTTACTAAGTGCAAGAATAAGTCCCCTTCCATTGGGGATCTCTAACAGCTACAGTACCTGTTCTTTCCCGCTCAAACAGGGTGTGCATGATTGTTAAAGGGGTCCAGGCCACCTGGCTTTGCTCAAGGATTTACCTTCAGGAAGGCTAACTCTATTACAGCAGTCCCTGATTAGGCACACTTTGTATACAACATTTGTAACCAGCCCCCTGCTCCTGCTTGTCACTGAATGGTTGCACAGCATAAAGTTAAAATAATTGTTTGGGAGCCCAGAGAGTACTATTGGGTTTGCATTATATAATAAGGGTCAGAGGAAAGGATGAAACTTTCAAACAGCACAGGTACAAATAGGAAGCCCAGCTGATCTAACATGTCCAGTAACTCTGAGAGGGATTTCACTTCCTTCTAGGAAGAGATCTTGATATTCCCAGCTGATTACTCTGAATGTGCCATCATCCTGATAAGGCCACCAAGAAGTGCATTGCTGGTTCTCATCCATGCAAAAGATGAAAGAATGAGAGCTGTCCTAAAAAACAATATTAGCAACTGTTGAGTGAGAAGGTGGTGAAACTGATGGATGGGCAAGAGCAGGCAACTGGAAAGAATGAGCAGGACGAAAACCAAGGGGATACAGAGCCTGGAAATAACATTCCCCTCTTCCAAAGTCTGCTCCTCTCAGCACCAGATCCACAGTCCAAAGCAAATACAAAGGATCCCAGCTGGGGCAGGGGGGTGGGGTTAAGTGGTTGCTACAGGTCTCCACAACATCGACAATTATACAGATAATGCTTAGGCACTTCTGTGTCCACAGTCCCCTTTCCAGGCAGTTTCCCTATTTTAAAAGGCCAGAGGGTTCACATGGCATCACTGACAACCTCTCAAACCATGCCAAACAGTGAAAAAGCCACCGAGATGCACTCAGATGAAGCAGCAGCACAGGTCATGTTGCCTCATACACTATGCCATCAAGTTAATGCTGGAAACATTTCCACGGTTTTTGTATCCGTCATCAAACCCGTTAGAGTATGAAATATTCACTGATGCAATTTGTTCTGTAAAGTACATAACAATTCATGATTAAAGCATGCAGAAATAAGTGCTGGGAAATTAAAGCTATTTAAGACAGATTTATAATGCAAACTGTTCCACTTAATTCCTTTTACCAGTTGGTTTCTTAACCCATATCCTTCCTCCACCGAGTCCCAGAGTTGCCAGTGCCTGTGCAGTCAAGGCTTTAGAGCAACAGCCCCAGTGATAAGTCTGAATTCTCACAATTTTAATCAACACCCCATCCCTGCTGTTTCAAATGACAATGGCAACAATCGCTCACCATTTGACCTGCTTCCCTCCCATGATCCCACTTTAACCTTTCGCCTCACAGAATCCGTTTCCTGGGGAGCCTCAGGATTCTGGCTACAGACATGCCTTGTCCCTTCACATGCTCAGAATTCAGTGCAGAAGACACCAGCTCCTGTCAAACTACTGGAGAAATATTTGCAAGCCAGACCGCTTCACATTAGCTGAAAGATTCACAGCAGAAACGAAAAAAAACCTCAGGGTCTTTGCAAGAAACCGTCGGATGGCAGACCAGCAGCCCCACACACGTATTTGATTCCAGAGTAGGGAATTCTGCAGCCTGGGTTTTGCTTTTGCTGGTTTTCCTCTCAGGTTATTTGTCTCTTGCGCTGCATTTTGGTCAGCTGCACACTCTGTTTTCATCACACAGACTGTGATCTGGATTGCCAGTGGTGTTTCTCATCCCATTCTGCCCTCTTTAGACTCCAAGCACCTGCTGCAGATGCCAACGAACAGCCAAGAGAAGGTGCTCCTGCAAGCAGTAGGTTCCCTGCTCTTCCAGGCTTGGATGCGGTCTCAGAAGACGGCATGCAGCACTTCCCAGCCCTATGCACGGCTTCCTCTTCCTCGCTATCTCCAGCTCCCTCTCCCTCCTGCTGTCACACAGACTGTGCAAGGCAGAGCCTTTTCTCCGAGATGCCTGGCTCAGAGTGGGGGAGGGAAGGCTGGTGGAAGGGGAGGGGAAAGGGAGAGGGATGGGTGAGGGGCTCAGTAGCCTGGGAATCTATCTGATTTTGGCAAATTTTCCATGAATCATTTCAATTGCCTTTGCTTATTAGAGCTTTTGTCTCTGGGAATTCTGTTATTCAGGCTGTGAGCTCTCTTACTGAAGAGTTAATGCAGAAATGAGCTGATGCTAGGCAGGGGATGCTGCCCTGGGACAGACACGACAGCAGCACAATTAGATGGGGGGGGGGGGGGTGGTGGCTGCAGCTAATAACCACATCTCTAACTAATAAAAAAGTGGCTTGTTTCTCCCAGCCAGTTCTCATAACTAAGCTAGTACATTTCTCTGTGGAAGGAAAAAGAAACAAGCATCTTGTTTTCATTATGAAGCCTGGTGTCAGCAGAAGACATCCCCAGAAGCTGGAGGTCAGATTGCTCCCAATTTCTTTGGGTAGATCACTGATCACTTATGTAAAGATTCTCACCATATTATGTCCTATCAGCAATTGTATCACCATTACCATATGGTAAGAGAACTCATGACATTATGGGGAAAAATAAAAACACAACACAAAGTGATTTAGGATGTGCAGAGAAATTTTCACTCACCACCAAAATACAGCCACATACAAGCAAACAATAGTTATCTGACAATCCATTATAGAGCAGAAGAGTACATATAAAATACTACAGCTACCTTAAACTGAAGAATGATTAGAGGGAGCAGCATGTTTCACTCACTGTCCTACTGAGATCACGGTTCAAGAGTCAACACCAAAGTCCTGTGACATTAGCCATGAAATCCTGTTGCCAAGACCAGAATTTTTACATCTCCCCTGGAATGACAGCTTCTAAAGTACACTCTCTGCTGACATCATGTGGAGGCAGTGGTCCAATACTGGCTCACATGGAGTTCCCACACTCTTCCACATGTGTATGTCTATTTATAAACACGACCTCACAATGATACACAGCAAATTTTGGAGATAAATACAAACTATTGGTTTTTTTTCCTCCTCTGTTGGGTCAAACGACCTTAATTCTCAGGTACACAGAGGCCTCTGTACTACAGAACATCAAAAGTGGCCTTAGAAATCCTGTGGAGACACCCTGCCTGCTGAGAAACTGTTAGTGGCAATCTGTCCTAGGAAAATTAACCTCCTCGCTCCTGCACAAATCGGGATGGGGGGGTGGGGGAGGTGGCAGTTGAGGCACTCTCAGGGAGCAGCCCAGGCAGGACAAGGAGACAACAAAGCAGAGTTGGGGCTTACACTGGGGACAGGAAACTGAGTCAGACAGCTGCAGCTATGCCCGTGCAGGTCTGCCCTCAGTTCCAGAAGAGATTAAATGGAGCAAAGCATCATATCCAGAGGGAGATCTAATGTTCAGTTACACATTCCTTTGTCTTCAAGCTAGTTTCTTGTTCTCTGGGGAAAAAGGGAAAGGCTGTTCTTTACTATGAAGCTATTCATGCTGGATCAGCTCCCTCACTGTAGTAGAGTTTTTCTTCAAAAGCCCCTTGAGCTACACTGTATCTCCTATATCCATGAAAACAAACAACACAGCCATGTGTCTTCCCTCTCCCCTCCACTGCTCAAGTAAATTGTGGCAAGAGTTTTGACTTCTGCCCCAGAGCAAATGGTAGTAAGAGCAGCTTTTAAGGCACCAGTGTAACATGTTGTAACTGGCACACACTGTTCAGGTTTGCAGCTGCAAGCTGTGGCACCTCTGATTGGAACATATTATATGCCTCCATTCTAACCAATCCTGTCTTTTACAGGTTCCATTTCCTTCGAAAGCCTCCACCTGCACGAGCTTGACCTTGCCTAACTTGTGCAGTCAAGAACCCCAGTCAAGGTTGCAGGCTGTTTATAGCACAGAGCATATACTTCTCAGGATCCAAGTCCTACTTCAAAGGGGAAAGTCACCTCCAATGGAAACCATACTGAACTCTGAGTTTCAGGCTTCACAGCAGTATGCAGGAGATTTTTCAGTAAAATAATTAAATGCTGCACTTTAGATTGAAGGTGAAAGTCTGGGGGATGGAAGGGTAAATTAGATAATTGTAAAACTAGAGACAGTTAAACATGATGGATGAGGGCATGATGGCAACAAAGACACAGCTGCAGATCCCCCCTGGACCATATATCTGGATTAAAGACTGGTGTGTTCCTGTAACTGCTGTTCAAATCCACATGCTCCCTCATCTCCATCTCTCTGCAGGGCGTGAGGTTTGTTGGTTTACATTCCTTTTCTCCACATCTTTTCTATCAGCTCTGAAATACTCACCCTTGCACCCTAGCTACTCTGCCCCTTCCTTTCTGTGAAGCAGGCCACAAACTCCATTTCAGCATCCCTCATGTCAGCACTCCCTCAAAAGGCTCCATCTGTACATTCAGGTTCCCAGTAAAATCTTTAGCTGTGTCTTTCCTAATCCTATTCCCCTGGTCTCACTGAGGGACACTCCAGAGCTTTAGACAATTGTAACTCAGAAGTTCCTAGCTCTTATTTATGTGATCACATCATGAATGAGATCAATTTTATTTGTGGAAGAAATGGCAGTAAACCACTGCTTCATGTTGGTTGCTGAGGCTTCATTCTCCAGATCAGGCAGGAGACTATATGCTGGGAACCCTCTTTTCTATCAGAGCTAACCAGATCACAGTGATAAGAAAGGGCATTTTAGGGAATGTCAAACAAAGGACCACAAGGGGACGTACCTTGGCAATAAAGTTCCTTACCTGGAAGAGTGGGACTCCAATGGCACGTTCTGCTGCCCTTCATACTGCTGCACCAGTGCCCGGACACTCCAGTAGGGGTTTTCAATCTCCTCATCCATGCTGCTATTTCTGGAGATAATAATCATAGAATGAGGGAAGCCTCACCTGATAGGAGCAGAAATTCTTCTTGTCTCCAAGAAGGACGGTAGGAAAGCTAATGAAAGGAAGGTAAGAAGGAGGGTACAGCTAGAAAACTGCCAATTAAGAAAATTCTCCTATTGGGGAGCTCCATCCCATCTTCTTGGTGAGGTAAACAGGCCCTCCCCTTTTAAACTCATCCCTAATTCTGTGACTAGAAAAATACAAAAGCTCTGGGAAGGCAAGGAAAAGAACAGAATTTGCAAATAGCACAAGGACTGGCTTTTCTGAAGAACTCCTAGCCCAAGGCCTTTGCAAAAGAAACCTTTAACATTTAATTTTTCAATAAAATATACCATTTCAACCTCATTTCCAAACTGCTTTATGGGTACTCCCTTGAGCCAATATAATATGGGCAAATGACCTTCAGCTGTGTAAGTTAAACCCTCAATAGACCACCATCTGGCTTCCATTTAAATGTCATTACTATTATTATAATCCACATAGCACCTTTTGCAAGTGTTAAATGTGCTTTTCAGAATTACACATCCTTCTGTACATGCATCATCTCCCTTCATTATCACCAGAACTCCTCTTCTTACATGGTAGGCTGCATCAGCTGATTAACAGCACACAACACTCTGCATCTGCGTCTATATAGCAGCAAGCGTAACACTGGAGTGAACAGCAATGTAGAAGACAGAATGGACTTGTACAACAGGCTCAATGCCTCAGTTCTGGAAGCAATTGCTCCCAGATCTGTAACCAGTACCTGTAGTTAAGATCTTACTCTTGTTTCACTTGAAATGAGAATGTATCCAAGTAGACAGCACCAAGAAAGGGCACTGTGCTCAGCACGAAATGGGGAAAATGAGGCAGCAAGAGTTCCCTCTGGCTTGGCCATAAAGAACTGTTCTCTTCCAGTGAGATAACAGAGCCCCAGCAGTTATTTTGCTGTAAAACCTGAAAAGAACCTGGGATACCTGCAGTTTTCATCATGCGGCAGCCAGGCTAGGTCAGTACTCCGCTTTGTTAGGCCACTATTTATTTAGGTTTCAGTGAGACAGCAGCGGTTTGTCTCTATTTGTTTGCACAATAGGAGAGCTACCTTACACCAGGAATTGTCCAGATAGAGAGGCATCTATTTTAAAAGAAATTGTGTCCATCTGCTAACATGACCTGACCTCACATAAACAGGGAAAACTCATTACCTCTGTCTGTGCCGGAAAACATCCCGGCCGGATAGCAAGACATCTTGACGAACATCTGCCAGAGCAGCCACCGCTCCTTGGGCCACTGCAGCAGCTGAGCGAGGCCTGTGACTGGCAGACGATGCTGACAAGTTCTTCCCCACCATGCCAGCAGGGCTGTGATTCATTGCTCTCCCGGAGCCTGGTTTGAAATGAGCAGCTAAGGCCAGGATCAACCTCATGATAGATTTCAAGTTCCCATCAACAATATCTGCAAAATGCAATTAAAGCCAAGGACAATGCCATTAACATGAAGTCCCACCAGAGCTGTATCTGACCAACAAGAATGAATATAATTAAACCCAACGGGACCATGCCAGTAAATGAGGACTATGCAAAAAAGACTGCATTACAGCACTGATACTTAGCTCTGCTTGTTTTGAGCAGAGCAGCAGACTGACTGCCACCTACAGATCACACGTTGAAATGCTTTGAACAGACCCGAGCCTTCCCTCTATGGCCATTTCCAGCTAACAATCCAGTAGGTTACGTGACAGCACATGGTAATTACTGAATGCTCACTGGAAAAGTACAGCAGTTACTGAAGACTACCACTGTACTAGCAGTCACTTCCAATTAGCACATGGAATTTGCTTTTTTTTTTTTAATACTGAAGACCAGAGAACAGCAATATATTTCTTTACCAATAGTGTCCTGTACCATAAACTGTTTGTTGCATCTTGCAAATGTGACCTAGTCAGTTTTAATAATATCACACTAGGCATTTCCCCCAGCATACAAACTAGCTCAAAAACGTTGATCTCAAGTTCACTGCAAACGTCAGCCATTCTTTCAAACTAGGATTTCTCAAAACAGTTTAGTCAACTGAGATACTCAAAGTCTGTTAAAATAGTAGGAATAGGGTTTCCAAATATCAGAGGCAGCCTAAAAAAAATAAAATCATAAGTGCTGGAGGCATGAACGCTGGTTATTACTTACTTTAATATCTGAAATATTAGAAATAGCCAAAATAAGCCACAGTGACTGTTACCTCCACATCATTCATGGAGAACATGAAGCTAAAAGTTTGTGTGAATCATTTGAAGTCCTAGAATGAGTCAATGTCAGAACTATGGCCGGAGCTCTGGAGCATGTGTCCCAGAGTCTTGTGCCTGTATCCTATCCTATGACCACATGACATCATTTAATTGCATATCCAGGTTGATACCTTTGCTTATGTAAGACTTTTACCAATATTGCTATAAGTTCTATAGTCATGAGCTCATAAGACAACTTGCAACATTGCTGAAAGAAACAGTACAGCCTCCAATCTGCCAGTAGCAGTACTGTGGGAACAGTACTCATTATTCTAAATTCTAAGCCTCTCACCAAGGCCTATAAACCAACAGCTTGTACTCTTCTGCTAACAACAAAGGTCATGCACTCCATGCTGTCTCAGCATTTTTCCCCCTCTTTCTCATCTGAAGGGCCACAGACAATCAGAACCATATCCCCTCCCAGCACAGACAGCAAACAGTAAGGATCAGGGCCTGTCTTCTACCCCATAGATCTACACACATACCCCAGCAATCCTTGCGATATCTGATTAAACCATGCTGTAGACATGTGATTTTGCATATTGGGTCTCCTCCCTATTTACAGGCCATGCAAAACAGTATCATAGGCTTCCAGCGGACCAGAAATATTTTTCCCATGTCTCGTTTCACAGTAGCAGGTTTTATGTCTTTTTAGTGAAAGATTCTGAGTCTGTATTCCTCATTACACCATTACTTGATCTTATGTCTGCTCAGTAGCAGGAGAAAAGGCACTTTCATTTCTGTGCACTGTGCTGCTACCAAAAGCAGTCAAGAACGCAGTATCATTCAACCCAAAATCTGTTACTAAACCACAGGAGGAAAAAAAACAAAACTCCCCCACAAACCAATACATTATCTGTTTGATATGAAACAAAGACAGAAACAAGCCTTCAACAGGTAAAATCATCTGTGGTGACCACCAGGGGCACATACCTTTTGCTGATGTCTGATGCATGCGGATCTTTTTTGATGCCACGAACTGTAAGACTTTCTCCACATTTTCTCTCATCTCCTGCTGGCTGGTGGGGTTGACCTGAATGCCATTCAACTTCTCACCAGCTAAAGGAGTGAAAAAACTTTATTAGAGAAGAACT